TCAGGTGGATCTTGGCTGAAAGCAAAAAATACCAGAAAGATGTTTACTTGTGTTTTATTGACTAAGAAAAAAAAGCATTCGACTATGTGGATCATGATCATAAAAACTGAACAGTGTGGTGAAGAAAGGGAATTCCAGAACATAAAACAAGAGGCAGTTGTTTCAACAGAACAAGGGGATACTATGGGCTTTAAAATCAGGAAAGACGAGCATTAAGGTTGTATCCTTTCACCATACTTACTCAATTTCTGTGCTAAGTAAATAATCCAAGAAGCCAGACTATACGTTTAAGAATGCAGTATAGGAGGAAGACTCATTTACCATCTTGCAGGTGACACAACCTTGCTTGCTGAAAATGAAGAGGACTTGAAGCACTTACTGAGGAAGATCAAAGACAATAGGCTTCAGTATTGATTAGACCTTATGGTGTAGTAAATTATTTAATATATCTCTTCTAGCTTTAATCTTTGTAACTCCCACCAAATGTCTCTTTTCCTGATGAGTCTGAGTAAGAGAAGGTGGGAGAAAATGCTGAATAGGGTGACATGACTTAGTTGTGGATGTTATGAGAGTTCATTGTAATTGCAAAAAATTGAAACTCTAGCATAGGTATAAAATGAGCTATCTCAGAAGCAGTAAGAGGGATCTCACTAGGATCAAAGAAGAAAAGCCAAGAGTGGAGGGCATCATTTGGACCCAAAGATTCTTGCACATTGAACCTCCTGGACCCAGTGACAGAAAACTGTGACACTGGAGACATGGCAGAAGAGCAGCAGTAGGCGAATCGAGAGGCAGAGCAGGACACAGAGCAGTGGACTTCCCAGCCCACAGAACAAAAGCTGAGTGACCTTGGGATGAAGGCCTGCTTGCAAAGTGAGGTGCCTTCAGATACTTAATTGGGGGAGCTAAGCTTGCTGACCCATGGAACTAGAGTTGAGTGCCATCAGGCTGAGGCTTAGGGTGGAGTGGTGTGTCTTGTGGGCATTTGTTAGCCACCCTAAAAGAACTTTGTAACATCGTCCTATTTGGAACAACTGTGCCCTGAAATGTTCACTTCCCTAACAAACCCCATAACTGGGAATATCGTGTCTAGGAGGTCTCTGTGTCTAGGAGTTCTGTCTAGGAGTTCTCCTTTTTTTAAATGAGAGCAAACTTAGAGCTAGAAAATTTGATGGAAATCTTTTTATGTTCACTTCAATGTCAAATGAGACCGCTCAGCTGTTAAACACCAATGATTTATCTTTTATATCTGAAGTATCTATCATTTCAGTTAATTATTGATGTTCATTTTACACAAAAAAACTTATAAAAACAGAAATTAATGTTGTTCTCAACATGTACTTATCTTTTTAATTTCAGAAATTGGAAAACGGGTTTGTTTTTACTTCAATGGAAAGTTACCTAGTCCAATTAGGCTGCATTGTAAATTCTGCTAATTCAAATTTCACTTCTTTATCTGTAAGAGTACCCATCTATCAGTCTATACAAGCAGTCATCTAGCCAGTCAGCCAGTCAGCCAGTGAGCACTCACATTTATTGATCACCTGCTATTTATTAGGCACATTTTAGGTTCTGGAGGTATACATGTAAACAAAACATCACTTACAGAAAAAACCTCTATGACTAATGGGTGGATAATTGCTTAAACATTTATATGCTAAAGATTTTATGTACAGACATGCATGTATTATAATACACGCTATATTTGAGGCTTCATGGCGATACACTGCTTTTGATGTTTTCTAAAACTCTGAAGAGTTCATCTTCACTAGTTATGATTATGACTTCACTCAATACCTCATTAGAATTCATACTGAAAGTAAAATATTAATGTGCACTGTGATGATATAGAAGACTTATTTTAGGTACCCCTCACCACTTTCTCTTTGCATATATCATTTCCTCTTTCTATAATTTTCCTTGGCTATTTTGCAAATGCTTATTCATTATTCATCGCCTTTCAGGTGTCATTGTATCTTTGAGATCTCTCCTGAGCATCTCACAACAGAACTCATCTCCCTTTTCTCTACCCTATTGCATGGTGGGGTGCTGTAGGATAAGCACTGGACTGCAAGGTCAGTAGTTCAAACCCACCAGCCACTTCCTGGAAACTCTACATAGGGGTGGTGTGAGTCAGAACTGACTCAGTAATACTTAACAACAATACTGCTGCACTTAGTAAATATTTTTATTATTACATTGATAACATTATTTACTAACGTGACTTTCACTATACTGTGTGGCACTGTAGGATATGCACTGATTTGCTAACCATACAGTTAGTGGTTCAAACCCACCAGCAGCTTGTCAGAAAACCTAGTAGAGTGGCTAAGAGTCAGAAATTATTTCATGGCAGTTAACAACCACAACAACAAGCTTCTTGAGGATAAGAACATTTGTTTCTTCATTTTTGCGTTCCTAGGGAGTCCTGGTGTGGTGCTGTGGGGTAATGTGCTGGACTACAAGGTCAGTTTGAACTCAAGGTCAGTAGTTCAAGCTCACCAGTCATTCCTCAGAAACCTTATACAGGGTTGCTATGAGTCATAACCTACTCAATGGTACTTAACAACCAACAACAACAACAATGTAACTACTAGGAGCCCTGGTGTGGCGCTGTAGGATAAGCACTGGACTGATAGCCCAAGGTCAACAGTTCAAATTCACTAGTTGCTCTTGAAAACCCTTATAAATATGCTATGAGTTGGAACCAACTCAACGGCACACAATAATAACAAGAGTAACTACTAGAATACCTGGCACATAACACTTGTTGATCTGAACTAAAGAACAATTCCCTCTATTAAAACTTGTGTAATGTCACAGGATTGTGTTTACATTTACTTGTTTCATGTCTGAGTCCCTTCTAGATCTAAACCCTGGAGAATGGGGCCATAGCATATCCATCATTATACCCCAGGTGCATTGCAATGACTAGGAAAAGTAGGTGTCCTAGAACAACTAGATGGTGCCAGGCCGCCATGACCAACTGCTCTGATAGGGATCACAGTAGAAGGTCCTGGTAGACCAGGAGAAATATGGAACAAAACTCAAGATTATCAAAAAACACCAGGATTACCAGTCAGAAAGGAGCTCTGATAGCATAGTGGTTATGAGTTGGGCTGCTAACCTCAAGGTCATCAGTTTGAAACTACCAGCTGTTCCGTGGGAGAAAGATGAGGCTTTCTGTTCCCGTCAAGATTTACAGCCTCAGAAACCCTGTACAGTATCTCTATGAGTTGGAACCAACTCCATGGCACACCACCACCACTGGTCAGAAAGAGACTTGAGGAACTATGGCCCCTGACCACCTTTCATGTCTGGTAGCCCAATTTTCATCCAAGCAGTAGTATCCTGATTGTAGTTAGTAGAACGGTTTCTTAATTTAGTCAATGATGTGTGTAATTTTGAGATAACATGGAGGTACATACAAATGCTTAATAAAACAGCACTGAATGAACAGAAGAGTTGTATATTCTCTAACTCTTGCAAAATACTATGCACTCAAAATCTTTATAAAAACTACTGTTTGAGAACTGTGGTGAGTTAGATTTAAAACCTCTTTTCAAATTGTAAGGAAATTTAACATCTATTAAATATAACATTACTTAATAATGATAGGGCATACTGGTGTGGTGCTGTGGGATAAAGCACTGGACCAGAAGGTTGGTTTTAAGCACAGGTTGGTGGTTCAAACTCACCCACCAGTCACTCCTTGGGAACCCTGAACAGGGTTGCTATGAGTTGGAACCGACTCGCTGGCACTTGCAACAACAACAACAACAACAACAAGCAAGGATAGCAGCAAATGACTCATTATGGAATCTTGAAAAAAGTTATTTAAACAATAACAATTTAATAAATGGTAATTTAGCACTAGTGAGTTTGAAAATGTAAAATGAAGACTGCAATTTTGTGTAGTTCCTTCCTCTTTAAAATCTTGTAAGAGTGACTCATAAACCGATAGGTCATAAAAACAGCATAACTTTCTGCAAAAGCAATTTTCTAATTTGTATGTTTACAAAGACTTATTGATTTGGAAAAGTTACTATCATATATATTGACTCAATGTTGTAAAAAATGTGAAAATGGTGATAGATTATATTTCTTTACAGATAGTTACTGTACTTCATAATATTTTTTCTAAGGCATTTCAAAAACTAACACCACAAAGTTATTGCATCAGAATTTTAAATACATAAGGTCAAATTTAATTTCTTCAACATTTTTTCAGATGAAGAAACTAGTATTTATAAGTTATGGGACTTTAAGAAGGTTATGGGCAAGATAGGACAATTTCGAATAATACTGCAAAATCAGATGTAATCCAATACTTTTTCCTCTACTTCAGTACAACTTTCTGAGGTTTTGTACAACAAAAATATTTTATATTTTCCTGCCTTTAACAGTTTGTATCTATATTTTCATGTGAAATGAATTTCAATGATAATTTGGACACACTTGCAATAAATTGTATATGAAAACTAATTTGTAATGACTAGGGGGAAAACCCATATAGTAAGACAATACACGGGCATATCCAAAAACTAGTCCCATTTAAAAATTAGATGGTGATGCACATTTAAATAATAAAACCTAGCCAGTTTAGCATCAGGATATTAGAAGATTAATACAGATTTTAAATATCAATGGCTTCATATAAGCTACAAAAATGTGAAATATTAATCATATCTCTAAGAAGGAAACCTGGAAAGAAATTAGATAAGTATCAGTTTCAGGAATCCATTGAATTCAGAAAAGAGAACAAGCTAATCTGAAAACAGAGTCAAGAATGATATTGAGGATTGCGTCCAAATTACTTTAACCTGATATTCCAAGCTTTGAGGGGAAATAAATTTTGGTTTTCCTAAAGTGAATTGACCTTTGACCTTCAGAATACAAAACACGCACATTAAAAACAAAAAGAAAACAAAACAAAAAACCTTTAGAAACAAATGAAACAGAAAACCAGAACCATGGCTCAAAAGCATCAAGAAACTTACCTGTTTCCATTTTCCCATCTTGTGCTGCAGGTCCGTCAGGAATCACACTTTTCACCTGCAGAAACTCGTCAGGCTCATCTCCGCCAATAATGGTAAATCCAAAACCCATGTTGCTCTTTTTTAGCGTGGTGCTGAGGAATGTTCCCTTCAACTGGGATGCATCCCGGGTGAAGAGTGGTTTTTCTACATTGGCCAATATAAGTTAAAAAAGAAAAAGCACATTTAAGGCAAGTTCTCACACAAGAGAAAGCCAGCCACCAAGCAGCAGTCCCAGGGATAAATGTAGGGTTTTACACAATACATGAAAGCAGGCGGCGAACTGCGTCAGGAGCAAATACTATTAGTGTTTTCTATCAATGCAGCGTGTACCAACCTTCCAGGGAAAGGAGAATAACTAGCTTGGTTTGGAGAGACACTTTTGTCAAGTCATGGCTTCTAATTAATAAATTAGCCCTGCTTGTTCTTAAAAAGAGGAACCCTGGTGGCACAGTGGATAAGGTTCAGCTCTTAAGTGAAAGGTCAGCAGTTTAAGCCCACCTGCTGCTCCATGGGAGAAAGATGCGGCAGTCAACTTCCTATACAATGCCACTCTTGGAAATCCAATGGGGCAGCTGTCCTCTGTTCTATGGGGTTTGCTGTGAGTTGGAATCAACTCAGTGGCAGCAAGTTTGGTTTTGGTTGGTACTTAAAAAAAAGTTGTATCAGTAGGTGATCAAAACTTTCAGCTAATGTGGGCAAGGAGTCCTAATCATCCAGAAACATCTGGATATGTTCGTCTCATTGTGTGTTAGATTCCAAGTAATAGGTATGTGTCATCAACTAATCCTAAAGACTGAAATGGACTTTCCTTATTTAAAATGTAATAGGAGCACAGCATTTAAATGTGTGCAGATAGAAGACAACAGGGAAGTAGTGGAATACTATCATATATTCAAATGTCAAGATTATTTGGAAGGAATACCTGGATTTGGGACTGAGTTAACTTTTGCTAACACTGCTAGAGGGTGAGATGCTATAAGGATAAATAGATAAATTGATTTCTACTGTGAGCAAAAAGCAAGCCTTCTATTTCTAGAATATAATTATGAATGTAAAGGTAAAACATTTTGTAACAAACAATACGTTGACACATTTAAATCGTCTACCTAAATAATCTGAATAGAAGTTGAACCCACTCATGGGTTTGCCTACCAATTTGTTATACGTATGTTTTTCTGGCCATGATCATATAGGTTGAAGCAAACTAAATGCTTCAAAAAGAACATATTTCAGATGCTATTTTTTTTTGTGGTGGTTACATTTTGGGTGGTTATGATTTGACATGCATAGTGATGGAGTTTTACTTTATCTGTCTATTTCCATTTTGATATACCTTTATTAACAAATAGACAGAGAGTTTCTTTAAAATATACAGTGAGAATGCATATAATCTTTTCACCTAACGTTTGGAATTGGAGAATAGTTCATCACCAGACCTTTACATTCATTTTAATTGTGCCATAGTGCATGGTGTGAAAATCATTAGCAGGCAAGTCTCCAAAAAGCCTTTCTCCTGTTTTCACTTAAGAGTGAGCACAAAGAGGTGAAAACTAGGTGCAGCAACTCATCCCACTACGTGGCTCAAAGTTAAAGTTAGGTCCAGCAAACAACCCTGGGACCTACCGAATGGCCAGGGTCTCCCGGCGTGATGGCGCCGATAGTAAGACAAGTCATCCACGCTGCGCGACCTCTCCCAGGCCACGCCAGGGCAGGCGGATTTGAGCCTAGGTAATGTCGATGAGGAGCTGTCTACTGTCACAAAGGAGAACAAGCCTCATTCTTGTGCTTGATCTTTTGAGAACAAACTTATTGAGTCTCTATGAATCTCTGCAGTTTACAGTACTACCGTCAAAACCCGTTAATCTCCACTTGGCAACATGCTATGAATTCCTATAACTATTGTTTGAGGCTTTAACTTAATCCTGGTTGTTAAATGCATTAGTTTAGAAACAGAGAAAACACCCAGACAAAGCTAACAGAGAGGTGTGGGGAAAGCAAACCAATTATTTGACTTGGTCCAAACTAAAGACATTTCAGTAGAGCAGACAGTTTGACAAACACATTTTCCCTTTAAAGCATCGCATATGGATGTGGTATACGATACCTCGGAAACCTGGGGCCTGCAGGGGCTTTGTTCCAAGTTCTGTGTGGGGCATGTTATGTTGCTGTAGCTTCCGTTTTGCTTCCAGGACAGGGTTTTCAAACTGTGTTCTTCTGTTTATGTGGCTAAAAAATAAAATTTCAAATTAGGGTCACAGTGGGACAGAGTCATTTAAAAGAACATATGTATGATTCTACAGAGAGCTGGCCATTAACAGACACCTTATCTGATTATAGTCAAGTGCCTCCCCCAGCATAAGCCAGGTCTCTGCTGGGTCTGGACTTGATGCAACACACGTTTCTGTGACCAGAGCACAGTTTGCAGTTCTCAGTGGCTCTGTCATATGTCATTGCATTTAAATTATGTATGACTCTGCTAAAAGAAGTAGAATGGACATTTACTTTCTTGTCCACTGTGTTCGTTTGAGAAGCATTTGATGAACTAAAATAAGAGTCAACAAATGAAATTTGTACTGAATGGTATTGAAGGAAAACTAGCATTTGAACTTTGCAGAGTCCCTATATCAAACACAGTAAGTGTAAGGTAAATGTACTGATATAGTGTAGCCTTAAGAGAACATATGAACTTTTTGAATCAGACAGACCTGGAAGGGCTGGGATCCAGGATGGAAGATTCACAAGGATATTTACAGAAGTCATAGAATGCTTATTGATACTCAAGGTGAGTAAGGGGGGAATATAAACACTAATAGTGACATGGCAAACTCACAGAGATCAGACACAGAAGTGGCTTATGGCCTGAGGTATAAGGAAACCATTAACTCTTGTATAACATGATGTTTGAAATTAAGAGAGGAGACAAATAGCCCTTTTTAGTCCCAGCCTTCTATATTGATCTTTCTCTAACACACAAGTGCCTCACAATAGGGCTGATGTATATATGATTTTGTTTTTTGTATAAAGAGTAACATGATTATGGTATGAAAACATGTACTATATGTGGTGCTGTGGATTAATGCGCAGGACTGCAAAGTCAGTTTGAACTAAAAGGTCGGTGGTTCAAACTCACCAGCTCTTCTTGGAAACCCTATATAGGGTTGCTATGGGTCAGAACTGACTTGACGACACTTATCAACAACAATACAGTTTCTCCAATGAAGCCTCATAACAACCTGGTTTTGAATTCTATTTATTCTCATTTTAAATTGATGAGATTGTCAACACAAAAAAGTTGAATGATACAGCCCAGGAACAGAGGACACTAGGACCATCTAGGGAGAAGAGCACGAGTGGAATGTGGGACCCTATCTAGAGAAGCAGCGACACCAGAGATGGAGGCGGAGATGAGGACATGGAGAGAGTGAGCAGCTGAGGACTCAAGACTCATAGAAAGAGAAAGAATGAGTGCTGGCGGCCATGAGACAGGCTTGTAGAATGTTCCCTTTGTTTGTTTAAGTTATTATATATGCATCCTCCCCCCCAAAAAAACCAACAAAAACAAAACACAAAAATTAGAGGGAATGGAAGCAAATAATGTTGACTGATGATGCACGGAGGAGATTGTAATCATGGCAATGAAATGCTGAGTGTAAAACCAATGTTCTCCTATGTAAACTATCACTCATTCACAATAAAAACTTTAAAATAAAGTTGGGGAAAAAAAAGTTAAATTACATGCCTAGTATGTGGGAAAGCTGAGATTTGTACCCATCTCTTAAAATGCATCTGCTATCTACACGGCTTCTCTTTTCAATCTATGTTTTAAATTTGGTAAGCACATATATATGTAATATGTATGCACAAGTACACAAATACACACCCTGGACAAGCCATTCATTATGTGTTCTAAAAGTATAAACATCAGAAAAAGAAAGGAGATAGAAGAATTGCCATCTCAAGAGCCAATTTCCTATTTTTAGAAATCAAGTAAGTCCTGACTAGACAGAAGCACACTGAAATGACCACCTCATTGAAGAATCTCCTCACAGGAGGAGAGGAAGATTACCGTCTGCAGTGTAGGCTCTGCAGTCATTCGGTCCTGGGTTCAAATTCCTGTTCTACCATTTGACACACTGTGAGACTTTGGATAAGGAGGCTTGGTGGCACTGTGGTGAAGCACTTGGTTGCTAGCTGAAAGGTCAGCAGTTGGAATCCTCCAGTTCCTCCTCCACGGGAGAAATATGTGACAGTCTGTTTCCATTAAGATTTATAGCCTTGGAAATCTAATGGGACAATTCTACCTGTCCTATTGGGAATTAAACTGGGCAGAAAGAGATTTGGTTTGGTTACCGTGGGCACGTTATTACTTACGCCTCAGTATCTTTATCTGTGTGGCACTGTGGGATAATAACGCAGTCGACCACAAGGTTGATTTAAATCACAAGGTCGGTGGTTCAAACTCACTAGCCACTCCTTGGAAACCCTATACAGGTCACTATGACTCGACAGCACTTAACAACAACAACAACAATCTTTATCTGTGATATAGAAATAATATTCCTTCTTCCCAGAGTTGTAGTAAGGTTAAAATGAAATAATGAATGTTAGCACACATTTTCCAATACAAGCATGTTCAACAACAGTAGCAACTTTATCTTGATTACATCATCATCATCTTATGAATCCATAAGAAAACCTTTATTTGGAGGCCTTAGAGTCTGGTACTGCTTAGAGTAGGGGGATACTTGCTCATGGATACTTGTTCAATAATGTTCATGGGCAATGAAACTCATTTGGATGAGGTTTAAGGCAAATCTGTTTCATGTAAAATATTTTTCATTGTAAGTAATATGCTGCAATAATGTTCTGTGTACCAAAGAAGTCACCATCAGCTGTGATGTGTAGTAAGTTATGGAATGTGAGCGTTCAAGGCTTCCTCACTATACAGACACTCTGACTGTGCTCTGCTTCTACTTTGGAAGGGCCAGACTTTAAAGCTTCTCTACCTTTCCTTCCATTTTCATGTCATTTCTATGTGAAAATCTTTTGCGATTACCCTGCTGCTAAAATAAATATTATTCCTGACTTTGCCCTTATGTATCTGGTAGTGTCACCACATGGTATTTTTTGTTTCAGATATACTCTGGAGCTGCTCCAAAGGGCCATACCCCATCACAACTGTTATCACTGAATGTGAGATTCAGTAAATCAAAGGTATGGTGCTGAAAGCAAGTGTTCTGGAATATACATCCTTTGCAATGTAGTCTATAATTTGTCATGATCCGCACAGTCAAAAGCCTTTGCATAACCAATAAAGCACAGAAAAATATCTTTCTGGTATTCTCTGCTTTCAGCCAAGACCATCTGACATCAGCAATGATATCTCGCATTCTGCCTGACTCCAACTTGAACCTTTGACAGTTCCCTGTCAATGTACTGTTGCAGCTAATTTTGAATTATCTTTAGCAAAATTTTACTTGCATGTGCTATTAATGATATTCTCCAATGATTTAGACATTCCACTGGCTCACCTCTCTTTGGAATGGGCAAAAATATGGATCTTTTCCAATCAGTTGGCTAGGTAGCTGTCTTCCAAAATTCTTAGAAGAGTGAGTGCCTCCAGTGCTGCGTCAGTTTGTTAAAAGATTTCAATTTGTATTCCAATAATTCAAGGAACCTTGTTCTTGCCAATGCCTTCAGTGCACCTTGGACTTCTTCCTTCAATATCATTGCTTCTGGATCACATGCTACTTCTTAAAACGGTTGAATATTGGCGATTTCTTTTTGGTACAGTACTCTGTGTATTCCTAGTGGCAGCAGCATCTTTTTTTCAAAGCTTTTATTGTGAATTGAGTGATAGTTTACATGGGAGAACATTGGTTTTGAACTCAACAAATCGTATTTTGTTTCATTGAAACAATTACAATCCCCTCCATGTACCACTGGTTAACAGTATTTGCTTCTACTCCCTCTTTTAAAAATATAATCATTTAAACAATCTAAGGGCACATTTTTCAAGTCAGCCTCCTGTCTGTCGGCACACAGCCTTTCTCTTTCCATGAGTCTAGAGTGCTCAACTGCTCTCTCTCTCCATACCATCACCACCTCTTCCTCCATCTCTGGTGTCTCTGCTTCTCTAGTTAGGACCCCACACTCAGCTCACGCTCTTCCTTCTTGCTGGTCCTAGGGTTCTTTGTTCCTGGAATGTAAGATTAAATACTATCCCTGTTTGCTATATATCTTCTACCTTTACATTTGTGACCATTGCAATTAGTCATGATAACAATTACTATTGAATCAAAAGAATCTTATCCCCATCTCCTTTCACCAAACCCATCTAGACAAGATGAAACTATTCAGTGGAGATTCTCCCCTCCCTTGCCCCCCTTCCCCACCACCACCTTACTGTGATACTAAACTCACTCTTGAAAACTTATAAGTCAGCCACTTTGTGCCTTTATTACCCTCCACCCCCATTTTAAGCAGTCAATGTCTCAGTTGCCTGTTCCTATAAACCCTATGTACTGAGGGGATAGGCTTGACTGATCCTTGATGTGAAGATTCCTTCCCTCTCAGTTGGCATTTTGAGCAACTACATCCATAAGCAGAGGTCAAATTCATCAAATTATAGCAATTTACACTTGTTTCCTGTATCAAACTTCTTTATCTTCCTTTAGTTGAGTTCTGATCATCAAGCCATCAAAACTAGGTCAAATGGGTACTATCTGCACATTTCGATGTTCTTGTCAGATGGATGCTTCACTCTCAGCTCTAGCTCCCAGTGGCTAGGTCAGTCAGTACCCATGGGTTTAGGAGTTTCCAAGTCTCCCCAAACTTCAGATTAACCAGTCCTTCCTCTTCTCTTTCTCATCTCAAGGTTGACAGGCGTCTATTGAACACTCATCTTTTTATGCTTTCTGCATCATTCAGCATTTTGCCCATTGTTGTTGTTGTTGCTGTTAAGTACCATCGAGTCTGTTCCAGCTCAGAGTGACCCTGTATAGGGTCACCTTGAAGCAGTTGGAAAGCTTGAACTGCCAACTTTGTGTTTCAAACCAACCTTGCAGCCCAGCACATTAACTGTAGAATCCTTTAATTTTCCAAGTCGAGGCTTGACTCTGTTCTTCAGTTATTTTAGTATAAGCAATTTGGGTTTCTAACTCCAGGTCTTTGCATATTTCAGTATAATACTTGACCTTGTCTTCTCATGCTGCCCTTTAAATTTT